GATCATCCACACGGAGATGGTGTCCCTCTGTTCCGCAACCTCTGGTTCTCGGCCACTGTTCCCTGCTGTGTATGTGATTAAAACAATGTTTGGTCTAAGGGCAACAAAGCGTTCCTTTATCATCCCAGAGACCTTGATATTAAGGATAAACAATGCTGCTCCAACCAATTATTCCATCTCCAGACTCATCCGAAATAAAATGCAGCTTTGATGAGAATTGTCATTGCTCGATTTTATCTGCCTCGTGGTGATCCTATAGGACAGAGTGTAACTGTTCCTGTGGGTTTATGAACCTCTAAATCTTTACCGGAATAGAAAGCTCCATCTCTGTCCTTCAGGGCAGCTGGTGGTTTCAAACTGCTGAGCTTGTGGTTTAGTTAGCAGGCCACCATGTAATTCTTCCCTTTTTTTTTTTAACCTTTTCATGACCCCACCAGGTCCAGCATGAGTCGGAATAAACGTGATGGCAGTGAGGATATTTTGCATTGAGCTTTTAAACACAATCCATTCTCCTTTTCTTCCTTGGCATATCAACACGAATAAATCTGGATCAATCAGATGCTTCTGTAAGAACTTAATTCTCCTCCTTAACTTGGACCTTCCAAAGGAAGGCCAGCGATCAGATGGTGACAACAGGAAGTTCCCATGAGCCTGGAACATCCATCCTGATAGCAATTCAAACTTCTCTTCACTAGCTCCTTGCCTCTTACCAGTTATTCTTTAATTGCAGAATTGGAATTGCCACCCAAGTCAAGAAATAGAACACAAATTGCCCAAATATCCTTATCATTTCTCAAAAGCATTACTGGCTCTTTAACCTCCAGTGGAAATCACTGTTGTGCCGTTTGTGGTGATCGCTTAGCATAGTTCTTCATCCCTGCTGGTCAGTTCCATCATTTTACTAGAAGGGAGTAGTAACTATCGCATTATAATTTAATGTGTATTCCTCTGGCTATAGGATGTTGACCGCTATTTAAAATGTTTACTTAAGTGCTTGTGCATGTCATCTGGCCACATTTTTATTCAGTTGTCTTCTAGTTTTCAGTTCATAACTGCCCTTTCAGTACTCTGATGTGACCTGTTGCTGTTTAACTTTGTTAAAGTATGTTCTCCCCATTGTGTGTGTGTGTGTGCATGTTTCCTTTGTGGTTACAATTGTTTGTAGGCACTCTGTTTAAGAAGTCCTTCTTTCTCTCCTGCCTCTGCAGTAAAAAGATTTCATCCTGTATTTTCTTGTACAACGATATTTACTTTTATTGGATCTAGATCCATAATATTTTAGAAATAGTTTTGTGTGTATTGAATGGGCTAGTGATCAAGTTTGATTGATTTCCTCCACATAGACAGCTCAGTGACTACCTTTTTCCTGTTGCCTTGAAACGCCCCCTCCCATAAATTAGATTTTTGTTTATAGGTCTAACAATTTAACAATATAATATCAGTCTTGGTTAATGTAACTACGATGCCTGTCTTTATATTGAAAAATCAATTGTTCCTTCTTTTTTTTTGTCCCTTATTTCATAAATGTCTTGACTCATATTGGTTCTTTGTCTGTCCATATACATTTTAAAATTCACTTTTCAGGTTCCACACAAAATAAAATTATACAAACAAAATGCTGTAGATGCTTGGATTGTGATTACACTGAACCCACAGATTAGTCTGGGGACCGACAATATCCATACCTTTACTATGTTGAGATTTCTAATCCATAAACATATCCTTTGGATTATTTAAGGTTTTAAAACTTTCCTTTAACTATATCTTAAAGTGTTCAGTTTAGTGGTTTTATACATTTTTGTCAAAATTCCGTAAGTAGTTGATATTTATTGATTCCATTACACATAGAATCTTTAATTATTCTATGATGAGCTTGATTTTTACGTAGAATGGAATGTCACTTGATCTTACTTCTAGGAACATTGCTGAATTCACTTATCAATTTTACATAATAAAATGATAGATTCTTTTGTTTTTTACATAATCTGTAAATAATGATAATATTGTTGCTATGTTTCTAGTTATTATTTCCCTTTTTCAACTGTTCTCTTTAGGGTCTCCAAAACAATATTGAATTGGTGATAGCAGGCTCATGTCTCTTGATCCCAGTGGGTGAGCTTTTAGAATTTCACCATTAAGTATGATTCTTGCTATATGCTTTAAGAGCTTCATAGATGCTTTTTATCAGACTGTGGTGTTTCCCTTATATTCCTAATGTCTTCAGAATTTTTAAAAATTACAAACAGATGTTATATTTTATTAAATGCTTTTCCTGTATCTATTGAGAGGGTCAAAAGCTTTTATTGATTTTATAATGCATATAAACTAAAACTGCAATTCAGAAATAAATCGGAATTGATCAGGATGTCTTATTCTTTTTATGCATTGCTCGAATTGGATTGCTCACGCTTGAGTGAGACAGGCTCTATCTCAGCTCAGGATGACGGTGAGTGGTGCGATGCATTGCCCTTCCTGGCATATTTGGTAAAGCAGTTGGGAGAGTTTTCATTTCTTTTGTTCCTTTTCCCACCCCCATATTCTCTGGAAGACTTTATTCAAGATTTGCACTATTTCTTCCTGATGATTTACCTACAATTTCCTAGAGAAGCCACGTGAGTCTGGAGTTTTCATTGTAGGAAAGTCTTTAATAAAAAGCCAATCCACTGAGTTTTTAGGAGTGCTGTCCAGATTTCCTATTTCTTCTCTCAGTTTTGTTGTATATATATATATATATATATATATATGTGTGTGTGTGTGTGTGCATAACATATATATCACATGTGTGTATAACATGTATATTGCATGCTGCTGTTGTTTTGAGCTGTGTCTCCAGATATAATATTTGTTTTGGCTCTCTCTTGGGTTGCTTACTCTGAGGGAACCCAGTGGCCATGTTTTGAGGCGGTCCTATGGAGGAGCCCACGTGACCACGGTGTCTTCAGGTGGTCCTATGACTGAGGTGTAGGTGAGAATTCTCTGAGACCTATCAATAGCAACAACAGTGAGCCTGCGAGTGGATATTGATTCGACTATAATGATGTGAATGACCTTGAAGGTGAGTCCTCCTGCAAGTCAAGCTTTGGGATCACTGTGGTTTTGCTGACAACTTGACTATGGGGGCATGATGGGTACTAGCAATGACATAATAAACTATTGTTGTTTCCAGCCTCTCAGGGTAATTTGTTACACAGCAAAAGATTTAATGAATTCTATCCATTCCACAGTTGATACCATTTGAATATTTCCAGTGCATAGTGCTTACAATCAAATTCCATATAAATATGTCTACACAGATGTTTGTATGGACTTGTATCTTTGTTTCTCCTGGTTAAATACCTAGGAGTTGGGTTGCTGGTATATCTATGTGTTGAACTTTATAAAAATGTTGTGAAGCTGTTTTACCAAGTTTATCATTTCAATAGCTTCTTAATTTCATTATATCCATAACTTAAAAGCTTCTTCATATTTTTACTTTGCAACAATGTATTTATTTTGCCCATCCTTTTTCTCTTTTTCTAAGGACTCAAATAATTCTTACTATATCCTGTATATCTATGCATAAATAATTTTCTAGAATTTCTATTCTTTTGCTTACCCATGGTTCAATTTAGAGTTTCTGACTTGCCTTCCACTTTCTCAGTATTTTAAAAATTATAACTGCATCTAGCCTAATTAACTCTTAAACATCCTCTGTTGTGTTTAATTTGATAATATATTTTTTGATCCCAGGATTTCCACCTAACACTTTTTTATTGTTTCTAATTTTGGTTGAAGTTCTCAATTTGTTAAAATCCTGTTGGACATAATGCAGACACTTAATGATGTAACTTTCAACTGAAATGGTGAAAGTTCCTGGGAGTATAATCATATTGGCTATCATTTCATCTTATTTTATATCTTCATGTGCCTGCTTCTTTTTGATTATGTAATTAATGAATGGGAACTGTTTTGTAAAAACTGTTTGATGTCTAAAATCCCACACTCTATTTAAGGAAGGGTTTACATTTGTGTTTCCAAGATATTTTTGGGTCCTGTCAATCCTGGCGCAACTCAGTAAATTTCAAAGCTTGGATAGTTTACAGTTGAGCTGCAGCTCCGAGTTTGGGGGTATGATCACTGATGTGATAGCCCTTTCCAGGTCCTAACCAAGGTCGTAGAAGTTCTTGGACTGGGCTCTCTGTCCCAATCACCCTGGGATCCAATCAGAAATCCTGCTGTCTCTTGTGGGTTGGAGCTAGATCCTTGTGTCTCCGGGAGAAAAGTCGCAACATGAGCATCCATTTGATGTGGCTTCAGTCTTTAATTAGTGCTTCACCATCTGCACAGATCACCAGTGTCTTAAAACAGATTATTTTTAAAAATCATGTCGTTTTCTTGTTGTTCTCAGAAAGAGGGTTGATCCGAAATTTCCAGTTAGTATTGACTAGATTAATTTAGTAAAGTCCCTGGCACAAACAGTTTGCACTCAGCTACTGACAAAAGGTCCTGGAAATCTCCATTCATAAAATACTACAGCCAAGAAAAAATCCTACCAACTTCAGTTCTACTTTGTAAACATGGTTTCACGTTGAGTTGGAATTAACTTGACGGTAGCACGTTCTTAGTTTCATACTTTTACAACTTGCATTTTGCTATTTACCATGCTGTAATATTTTTTCATTCACATTGCTTAGTTCACAAAAAGAAAACTGCATTTTAGAATGAAATATATCATTAGAACATCCATCTCCTTGTTCCCATAATTAAAAGACTAATTTTGTGCTGGTTCTTAGAGACCGAAGCACCAAAAAACTCTCTGAAGAGTAAATTAATACTGAATTCTAGTCTAATTCTTTAATCTAAGCAATTAAAAGTTGCCAAACAATCCCGAGAGGGGAGTGTGGCAGTTTATAGTCGATTCCCCCGTTTTCACACCGACATTATATCTGAATTTTATGCCCATTCTTGCTAGAAAGTTTTAGCACATTAAGCTTTTATCTATTTACTTCCACAATGCTTACCATTGGTGACGGGATTTCCATTTTCAGCAGGTATACAAGTAGACGGGGAATTTGATAACGGACTCCCGTGGTTGTTTGCATTTCGGTCTGGAGTCTCTGAGGTCATTTCACATGTACTGGGCCCATCTCGGCTGGTCCAGTTCATGTTAGTTTCAAAACCTGAAATAAATTTAAAGATGATTATCCTTTTTTTGCTGATGTGAGTGGTTGGCTTGAATAAAACACTTGAAGAAACAATACAATTTATCAAATCAAACATGACATATTAAGTTGCTATTGTAAAGTATTAAAACCCTTTAATCAAACTTATGGCCTGCAAAATATTTACCTGTTCACCCAAACGCTGCTAAACATAATAAGACACATTAAATAGTGATAGTCAATTTGACAGTTTGTGAGTTTTACATGACCCACACAGAACTAATGAGGTCACAAGTCAGATCATTTAGCATTACAGTATTGTTCATCTTCAGATTCTTGCTGCAAGAATCATGGTAATAAGATCATGTTTAAAAAACTTTCCAAATACTTAAATTTAAATAGAGTTGGGACAATTTTATATTTAAAATATGTTTTCAACATAATGAAATATACTATTGTCCATTTGTAAGGAGGCCTGTTTGTGTAATGGTTAAGCATTTGACTGCTAATTAAAGTGGATGTGGCTTGAACCCACAAGTCCCTTTGCAGGAGGAAGGTCTGAGAGCTTACAGCCTTGGGATTGCAGTGGGGCAGTTCTAATCTGTTCCATAACGCCACTGCATTATGAAACATGGCTGAACTATAAAAATGACAGCTAGCCACTTAAAAACCACTACACTTCAACAACAAACAAACTTTCTTAGTATCCCGTGCTCTGTATTAAGTGCTCTGAGATAAATGGACACAATAGATGCCATTGAACAGGTGAAATGAATAGCCCAATGCAGTCTTTTTTTAAAAATAAGCAATATGCATGAACTCATCTCTCAGTGTGTCCTACTGTGATGACCTGCTTGTTGCTGTGATGTTGCAAACTATGCCACCAGTGTCACTACTACCAGCAGGGTCATTGATGGTGGGTAGGTTTCAATAGAACTTGCAGATTAAGATAGACTAGGAAGGAGGAGCCTTGGTGGTGCAGTGGTTATGCGCTGGGCTGCAATCAGAATGATCAGCAGTTTGAAACCACCCACAGCTCTGAGGGAGACACACTGGGCTTTCTACTCCCATAAACAGTGACATCCTGGGAAACCCAGAGAGGGTGCCGACGAGTCCGCCTTGATCTGGCGGCAGTGAGTTTGGTTTGGTTAAGAGAAAGAAGGAGAGCATATATCAGGACAAATGGGCACTTGGGGGGGCCTTCCCTCCATCCTGTCCCTTCGCTCCCATCCCCTGCCTACCTTGGAGACCAGCCAAGGCTAAGGCACCTCAAGAGCCTATCCAGCCACATCCTGCCTGACACTGCTTGGAGTTTCTCACCAAGGAGGTGAGATTCTCCCCCTAGGCCACCTAGGAGGCTGGCGCCACAGCTAGAGATCAGACCAGTCCTAGAGGAGGAAGCCACCCTTAGTGAAATGGAGGGGCAGGAAAGAGAGGAGACTCCTGATGAGCTGGCTGGACCCTGTGGCTGCATGGACGTGCTCTAGTCACTGCACAACGCAGGCCCCGGCAGCCTTGCCCTCTGTTGTCCATAGGACAACAATGGATCTGTCAGACCTGTCACATGGAGAGTTCCTCTTAGAGAGTGGGGGAGAGTAAACACAAACAAATGACTACACATGATGGAAAGCCCCAGGGAGAAAGAGGAGTGGGCATTCGACGGGCTTAGTCAGGCTCGTCAGGGAATTTCAATTCAGCTAAGACAGAGAATGAAAAGAAGTCTTGGATGAAATGCTCCTGTGCTAATCAAAAGGGTGGACATTCAAACCACCCAGGCACCCCGTGGGAGAAAGATGCAGCGATTTGCTTCCCTAAAGATTTAAAGCCTTGTAATCCCTATGAGACAGTTCTGTCCCTGTTGGGTCACTAGGAGCAGGGAAAGACTCACCAGCAATGGGTTTGGCTTTTGTTTTTGGAAGAAAAGGAAAGGAAGCCAGGCACAAAGAGGAAAGGTAACCTCCCTAAACTTTGATGAAGTCCCTAAGTGAGATGCTGTTGTGGAAAGAGGTTGAGTGTGGATACCAGGAACTGCCCCATAGGGTTTTGCTTGTTGTTTTTAATTGATGGCAATCTAAACAAAGAAGACCACCAGGTCATTATCCAGGAGATATTAGGAGGGTTTGAAACAATAATCTTTTGGTACGCAGCTGTGTTAATCTGGGTAAACTAGGGAAACAAATCCACAAAAGCTCATATATATGCTTTATATAAAGGGTAAGTGTCCATTAAGAAAGCATCCCAACCTAGTGCTGTCCAAACCCATAAGTTCAACATTAGCCCAAAAGTCTGACACCAACCTACACAGTTCTCCTCCATCTCACAAAACACACACAATGATGCTGACTGCAGGGGGAAAGCTGAATCAGTGAGCGTGTAAGCATCTCAGTGCTGGGAGGGGTCTCCACACGGCTGCTCCAGCACCCAGGGCTGCATCGGGGTAGGTCCATGTGGCTTCTCCTCAGGGATATCTCGAAGGAAGTGAGCCTTGCAAGCTGAAGCAGGGGACTGGCTAAGGCAGCCGGACCCTGCTGCGACCACCAGAGAGCAAGAGACCGGAGAACTCAAAAGGCGAGGCTCACTGAGCCATTTATCCCTCCATCCTTCAATTAATCCCACATGTGTTTATCGGCCAGGTCAGCACAATAAACCCTAACTATCTCAGTAGCCCAGTGCTTACCCAGTATATCACCAGGGATCTTGCTGCAGAAGAGAGCTTTGTTTTTGTAATTACGGGGGTGAGTCAAGCAAAGGGTGACAAGAAGACAGAAGGCTTTGGAGGTCCCCACAGAAAGACATTCAAAGTATATTTTCATAGAGTGGAAGGCGACCGGAGGAGCTGAAGTAAGGTTGAACTCACTTGGTAGCTGGGGATTTGGCTGTTGGGCGTGGCCCGGCAGATTTTGAGCAGAGGAAAACAGTCCCAAAGGGTTTTCTAGGCATCTTTATGAAAGGAGATTGCCAGATCTCTCTCCTGCCAAGGGTGGCTGGTGGGTTCAGAACCAGCAACCATTTGGCTAGTGGCTAAGTGGTGACCCTTTGTGGCCTGAGAGCTCCTTAGTCTTATTTTATCTATTGATCATAGGCTTACTCCTCCCAGATACTTAGTGGATGGGTCCCAATACTGGCTGGCAAATTGTAGGCGGATATCATTGTTTGCTACTAAAGTCTTAGAAAATATTTTCAGCTTCTGATTAATAAATTATAGCCAAAACCTAGACAATTTATGATACAAGTTAGGATCTAACCCGTGCATTATCTGCTAACGTTTTCTTTACATGTATTCTCTCTCTCTGTCCATTTGGTGACTTTTCTGGATTGGTATAAGGGAATAAGTTTTCCTAAACATAAGATATAAGACTGACATATCCCTATGATGATTATTATCCACATGAATCTGAAAATAATTATCATCTCTGAAGTGTTTACTGTATTCCTATCCTCTTGCTAGATGCAGTACTTTATTTAGCTATTTCCAAACAATTCTGAAACAGTGTTACCGTCATGCCTATTTAAGAGATGAGGTCATTGAGGTTTGGAGTGGTGAATCTACTTGCAAATGCCTCCCAGATTCATTAGTTAGTTCTTCAGTAGATTCAAGCTGAGGCAGGCAGGATCCCAGGGTCCACCCAGGCTCATTTCTCTACGTTCTACTTCTCCAGGTGAAGTTTATCTTCATTATTTCAGGTGTAGATATAAAGCATAAGGCTGATTCTGTTTTGTGGCTGCACCCCACATGCCACAATGGTAATAAATGGGCACGTGTACATTGGAAGTCAAGTGTACCCTGGCATTTAAAATAGAGTTGCATCATCAACATAGATGTCCCGACTCTTTGAGGTTATTTTCACTCATTAATATTACCTGGGGATGCTCACTCTACTCAATAGGACCAACCACTGCTCATGCAAACCCTTACTTCCAGTGAGATTCCAACAAGTTGAAGCTTGTGTGCCCCAGTTTGCTAGGTTTTGAATTCAACCACAGTGAGGTTCAAGTGCAGACCTCCCCACCCACGCTGGAAAACAGATGTAAAGGACCTTATCAAAGGTGCTCTCACCACCGTGTATAGAAATATGAAAATGATTTTGACAATAACTAATAAAGAGGAAATTGAGATTGAATTTGATAGGCTCTTTGTGGTGCAGTAGGGACCAGGAGGTCAGCAGTTCTAACCCATGAGTAGATTCAAAATACAAAGATGAAGCTTTCTCCTCCAGTAAAGATTTACAGTCTCAGCAACCCCAAAAGGCAGTGCTATCGAGGCCCGAATGCATTGGAACCAACTCGCTGGCATGTGTTTGGTTGTGTGTTTTGTTGCAGAAGTACATATAAAAGATGCACCTTTTATCAAGTTTCTCTCTATTTATAAAGAAGTCATACAGAGCCTGGAAAGTCAGCCAGTCCCTTCATGGCTGCAGTGCCCATCGGGGTGGTGAGGTGCAAGCAGAGTCAGTCCATTCCAGAAGAAAAGGTGGGGGACTCTCACTGAGCCTGGGAGAGGCGAGTGCTGTGACATCCTGTCGAATGATTCGGAGGTGTGTCTGGGACATCTTCGTAAGCCTGCGCCTCGGCAAGGACGTGGTTCAAGTAGTTTAGGGACATCTTTTGCTATGTGCTTCTACATTGTAAATCCAGTGGGTTAGAAGACCTGTGGTGTTTTCTTTTGACTCCTGAACAGGGTTTTTTCTGTGACCTCTGGTGTTTTAATAGGTTGGAAAAGCTGAATCACATCAAGATCTGACTCAAAGATAGAGTCTTGGCTCTTGTGTGAGTGTAATTTTTAAACACAAGCATGCAGACATGGTTAAGCATAATTTTGATTAAATAAATAGGAGAGTTTTCCCACATGTCTAAATGTTCATTCACAAAATAATCATTTGTTCCTTGATAGTTTTTATACAACTACAATACCATTCTCGGTGTGTGTGCTCCTTATAAAACTGCAGTTTTATAGGGAGCAGTATTGTCTCCCAGGAGACATTTGGTAATGTCTAGGTGGTGCAAACAGTTAAGCATTT